GCTGCAATATCAACACTTATCGCCACGGAATTTTTTTTCTGCGTTTAAACGAAACAGGTGCATTTGAACGAGAAACCCTTTGCGTTTAGACAAAGATAGTATTGCGTAAAACGAGATGCGTGAATGCGAGATGAAATTGCGTTTAAAAGCGATAATTCGTGAACATGTTGGTCAATATTTGAAGCTTTAAGCATAAACCCTCCAAAGCCTTAGACTATGCTTACATCAAATACATTTAAATTTGGAATCACACAACAAAATGCAGGAAAAGTTACATTTGAAGGAAGCAGAAACAGTATTTCTGTATCCGTTTGCACAGACATATATGTAAAGAGATAGAGGAATGCTGAACAAAAACAATTTCAGGACGGCACAAAACCCGTTATACCCGTTATTACGGGCTTTCTCTTTGATGTGACTAACAGTAACAGTAACAGTAAGCCAATAGTAGGTATACGTCTTACTGTCAGGTCATCGTAAATGTATTCCGTTCGATGTTTAATAAGTACGTAAAAACCGATGTACAAAACATTTTTGCAATTTCACGTCAATAATAACTCACGTTTAGAAAGCCGTGTCATTTCTACTTTTCACAGCAACAGCGAAAACGAAACGCGTTTAACCCGGGAATGCTCACTGAAAATATGTTCTACTACTTCGTGTATACAAAAGACAGTGGAGATTAATTCTTTTGCACAAAGAGGTGTGTGATGATATTCTTCTGGTATAAAAGTCAATGCTGCTTTGCATGGGACTTTATTATTGCATATATACTGATGGAAAAAAACGTGTTTTCTGGAATTAGAATACTATAGTTGTAGTTTATGTACTTTCACAAAAAGTTGTCAATTTGTTTTAAGCCCTCTGACCAGCAATACAACTTGTACAGTGAGGCATTGCAACTTGCCAATCACACGAAAGCTCGTTGGGTGCACTTTTACCCAACGAGGTCCACGTGGAACAATGCCTGATCAGGTCAATTTTGAAAGGGGCTTAATTCAAGGCTTAGGTCACTGCAAGAAAAAGACCACATTTAGTGATCTTTAGTGAAGAGGTGGATGAGACCATGAATCAATTAGCAATTAAAGACCAAACAGGCCAGATAGACCAACTGGCCTCCTCTCGTTTGTAACCTTTGCTACATTTATATATTCTAATTGAGGGGACAGGTGAGATAGAACAGCTGAGAAAGTGTGACCATTAGAGAGTAACCTTTAAAGTGTACTTTACATATCTAGTGGTTGATGCCAGAGCTAAAATTAAGGTTTATAGTTCTAGAAAAGCGGACTATAAAAAGAATAAGTCAGTGAAGCAAATGTGGCTATGCTTCAACAACAAAATGTCAAAAGCTTGAAAGAGATTCATCCATAAAACAGGAGTCATACAGGAGTCCATACAGTATCTAGGAAGATGTACTCTAAATCATACTAGGAAGAAATTAATACCAGTAAAATCAGAAAGATGAAAATGCATTTCAGACTGCATAGAAGACCCCAAAATCAGTTGTAGAAAGAGTGCTGTATACAGAACTACAGATGCAACTGAAGAAGGACGAGCCAGAAATGAATATTTTGCAAAAGGCCAAAATAAGACAAGTACTACGACAGTAAAATAAATGTAAAAGTGAGAGTAATTAGTCTATGAAATGATGTAGGATTAATGTTAGAATATTAAAAATAAGTAGACTAAATTTCGATATTTAAACTACGGTAGTTTTAATGATTATGTAGTGCATTCGCCTGGCGCTGCGGCCGAAGAGCGCCCGGCTGGGGTACACGGCGAGGGGCGGGGCAGGGTGGGAATAGTAGTGGTCAGGGCCGGGACGAGGAAAGCCGCTGACTAGTGCTGCTGACCCACTGCGAAACGAGCGTCCAGTGTGATGAGATCGCCTGTATTCTTGTAAATAGTTCCCTGGTTACGCACCCCTGTTATACTTGTATCCAATTGCCACCCTATTGCTGTGTCGCTACCCGAATAGACCCCAGT